GAATCGACAGATGTAATAATTACATGAACAGCCAAACTGATGAGTCCCATTGTGTTTTCTGAAACAAGCTGCAGCTCCGTTGATTGGCATGTATAACATGTCCTTAACTCGAGTTGCAGCAGCTGTAAAAAAAAAAAAAAAATACTTTCGTACAATGATGGTTTTTCTCAAAATTGCAAAAATCATCAACTAACGATGATTCACTGTAACAATCGATGAGAGGCTGTCGAACAATTTACAAACTCACCAAAGTTCACGAATCCAAACAAAAGCAGCCATGTCCACCCGACGTGTTTCATCTTAAAAGATTATTATTGAGAAAAAACTTGCAACAAGGATTATTAAAAAATCACTGTGCTCGATTGTTCTAAGCATACATTACTTTTAAGTATATATTACGTGTATATCACGAAAAAAAAGTGTTCGCTCCAAATGTTTCCCTTTTGGAGCAGCAGAGCAGACATAGAAATGATAGAAAAAGAAGCAAAGTAACACACTATCAAAAATAGCATAATACATAAACATGTACAGAGACTACAGAGGCACGTTATACGCGCACATTAGTTTACAACCAGCGCCATCTAGCGTTACGGATTTCACGCACTTACGCAAAACTATTTTCTAGGAGATCCGTCTTTGAAAAAACCCTAGATTCTAGGGTTATTGGCCATGCGGCGTTACCACGACCTACACTTAACTGCTGGTAGCATTTGCGGAATATAGCCTCTAATTTTATTATTCTGGTAAAGAGAGCACGGTGTAAGATATACATGAAGTTATGTGTAGTAATGAAAGTAATCACTACTAAGTAGTGCCATATGGTCGATTTTATTAAACCATATAAGTAGAATATCTGTACTTTTATAGGTCAAATTTTGGGTAATAGATATGTTGTAAACTTGCCGCAAATAGCACAAACAACTTTAACTTTTCATTTTATAACCATACAATTAGTTGCGGCTGGTTTATAATTGATTAAATGGCTCTACTATAAGTAGTAATAATCATTTGGATCAGCGCCATCTAGCGGTCGTGATTTTTTTGGCCAAAAATTGCTTCTGAAATTCTGAAGGAGAGATTTAGGCAGTTTAGCCCTAGAGCCATTTAATCACTTATAAACCAGCCGCAACTTTTGAAACAGATACAAAATAAATAGATAACGATGTTTGTGCTACTTGCGGCAAGTTTACAATTTATCTATTACCCGAAAGTATAAATATATATGAGATCGATATTCTTGTAAAACATACACTGCAAACTTGCCGCAAGTAGCACAAACATCGTTATCTATTTATTTTGTATCTGTTTCAAAAGTTGCGGCTGGTTTATAAGTGATTAAATGGCTCTAGGGCTAAACTGCCTAAATCTCTCCTTCAGAATTTCAGAAGCAATTTTTGGCCAAAAAAATCACGACCGCTAGATGGCGTTGATCCAAATGATTATTACTACTTACAGTAGAGCCATTTAATCAATTATAAACCAGCCGCAACTAATTGTATGGTTATAAAATGAAAAGTTAAAGTTGTTTGTGCTATTTGCGGCAAGTTTACAACATATCTATTACCCAAAATTTGACCTATAAAAGTACAGATATTCTACTTATATGGTTTAATAAAATCGACCATATGGCACTACTTAGTAGTGATTACTTTCATTACTACACATAACTTCATGTATATCTTACACCGTGCTCTCTTTACCAGAATAATAAAATTAGAGGCTATATTCCGCAAATGCTACCAGCAGTTAAGTGTAGGTCGTGGTAACGCCGCATGGCCAATAACCCTAGAATCTAGGGTTTTTTCAAAGACGGATCTCCTAGAAAATAGTTTTGCGTAAGTGCGTGAAATCCGTAACGCTAGATGGCGCTGGTTGTAAACTAATGTGCGCGTATAACGTGCCTCTGTAGTCTCTGTACATGTTTATGTATTATGCTATTTTTGATAGTGTGTTACTTTGCTTCTTTTTCTATCATTTCTATGTCTGCTCTGCTGCTCCAAAAGGGAAACATTTGGAGCGAACACTTTTTTTTCGTGATATACACGTAATATATACTTAAAAGTAATGTATGCTTAGAACAATCGAGCACAGTGATTTTTTAATAATCCTTGTTGCAAGTTTTTTCTCAATAATAATCTTTTAAGATGAAACACGTCGGGTGGACATGGCTGCTTTTGTTTGGATTCGTGAACTTTGGTGAGTTTGTAAATTGTTCGACAGCCTCTCATCGATTGTTACAGTGAATCATCGTTAGTTGATGATTTTTGCAATTTTGAGAAAAACCATCATTGTACGAAAGTATTTTTTTTTTTTTTTTACAGCTGCTGCAACTCGAGTTAAGGACATGTTATACATGCCAATCAACGGAGCTGCAGCTTGTTTCAGAAAACACAATGGGACTCATCAGTTTGGCTGTTCATGTAATTATTACATCTGTCGATTCTCTAACCTGATAATTAACTATCCTTTCATAATTTTCAGCTAGTAGATCGGGAAATGTTGGGGCTATTCATTTCGTGGAGAACGAGTTGGATATACAATGGCTGGAAAAAAATAGTACTGCAGGACCTTACATGATTGTTCTGTCATTTGATATGTTTACTTTGGAAAATTTAAAAAGATTCGCTATCTCAAACAATGTAAACGGTGTACTCTTGACCAGGAACATGAGCCTAGATCGTCCAGCCAGTTATTCTCCAGAAGACAGTTGTCCCAATAGATATTCTGGGTACAAATCGTGTGACAAACCGTGGAATCCTTATGGTTCTTCAATACTTTTGGAAGACTGGCCATTCCCAATGTTTTATGTACAGGTGAGAGAATCAAAATAAAATTTATGAATTTTTAAAAAAATTTTTCATTTATAATGCAACATAAATATTTGCTTTAGGATCAAGAGATGCTGAAGCAAATTAAAGCCTGTTACTTAAAATACAATTACAACAACAGGGATAAGCAAGCTCTGAGATCGCTGTGTGCACTTGAGATGAGAGCCTTTATGTTTGCTGCCGTGAATTCGGAAACGTGCATTAGGAGAGGCAGTGTGTCCAGTATAAATTTCAATACCAATATACTCTGCAGTCCTCTTGGTGATAAAAGTATCCACTGGCCAGCTGGCCCAATGACTGATAATGTTAAAGATGTTATTATGGTTATCGCAAGACTAGATGCCAATGCTCTGTATGAAAATTTAGTGCCTGGAGCTGGCAGTACTGTCACAGGGTTGGCCACTTTGATAGCCACTGCTACTTACCTTCATTCCTTAAAACCTTCACTTCAAGGTAAGTGTGATTTACCTATTTGAGATAAACAAATTCTAAAATTTAAAATATGCCCTTGTTTCAGGTACAAACGTCGTATTTTCACTTCTGAACGGAGAAGCATTAGATTACATAGGATCCAGCAGACTGGTTTATGACCTTGTACAAGGTAATTTTGTAGCGATAGGTGGCAAAACCATTAAGTTTAATCAGATAAGCTCTGTTATCGAGCTGGGGCAGCTGGGTGAGGGTAAAATTCACTTTCATGCAAGTAATTTCAAAAATAGTTCAATGTTGGAAAATTTGAAAAAGAATTTGGATGCGGAGATCCTCGAAGGCAGCGTTCCTCCTGCTTCTATTCAGAGTTTCTTAAGAGCCAACTCTAGCATGCCGGTTGTCGTTGTAGCTAATCACAATGAGACCTTTACCAATAAATATTACAACAGTCTTCTCGATGACGCGGATGGGCTGTTATACTCGAGGTGAAAATTATTTCAAAGATTACAAATAACATATTTTTTATCATTTACGCATTAAAATGAAATATAGCTTTCATTTTATTCGTCCTTTGTAGTGAGAAGCCCGAAAAAAAATTGGAGAAGAGTCTAGCTAAAATAGCAAAAAGCCTTGGAGATGAGCTTTACCGCGTAATAACTGGCAGGGAAACATCGGGAAACCTGACATTTGTCGAGGATATCATGCAAGAGCTGCTGCCTTGCTACTTGGAAAGCGCAGACTGTCGTATGTTTCATGCAGCCTCACGACCAGGAACTTATGTTCCCAAACGAGTACTACCTATGTACGTGAGCGTGATGAAGTCCGAAAACGACGTAACGACACTTACTGGACAGTTGCTAGCTCTACTTACCGGAGAACAGTTGCCTGAGTTGAATATCGATGCCTGTGTAGAGAAACATTTTATCTGGCTGGCTGGTTTTGATTCTAATAGAGATGGAGTTTGCGTTAATTACACAGCTAACTATAGTTCGGCTGTCAGTCCTGCCTTTATTATCGACGGTACATGTTTCTCCAATTTGACTATTTAGGTACATCAATGACCAAAAATCAAACAAAATAATCTTTTTCTTACAGGCTATGATATGAAGTCGGGAATTTACTCGACGTGGACAGAATCAGTTTGGACAGCGCTTAAGATGAGGATGTTTTTAAAACCGTCAGCAGCAACAGAAAGACTTAGCTTTATTCTCGGAAGCAGCATTACTGGGGTATCATTTATTCTCGTATGGTTCGTCACATCCCGAGCGGACGTTTTATTCAATACGGGGTAAATCATTACCATCAATTTTTTTGTTAATTATTAAAATAATTTGACATTATTAAGTATAAAAATTTTATTTTATAGGTCAGTAGATCTCTAGGAGTACGAGATGGATTGTCTATCATCCGCAAGTTCCGACTTTAGGGAAACCGAGCCTTTTATTTAAACTAGTCCGAGGATCGATGGATTACACTTGTGAATCAAAATTGACTTGGACGTCAGTAAATGTTACTTACTCTTCGTGCTATATTTTTTAAATTCACTCTCATCATTGTTCCATTTGTGACTGTACCTTTGCATTTGTAATGAGAATGTTAATCTAACTTTGTAATGTAATTTTTAGATTTTTACTCGAATTTAGCACATGATAGGATTGCGTCAGTATTAGCGTATGAAAACACCTGAGCATAGTTGAGAATTTTGTACAACAAAAGAAAAAATAATAATGTGCGTCTTGATACGTTGGTAATGAAAAATCATTAGTTTTAAATTTTTTATAATTAACAACGTTGTATAATTCATTCCCTGTTGAACACCTTTGACTGAAATATTTTAATATTTAAATAATCACTGTTCACTTCAATTGAAAAATCAAATTAACTACCTGTTAACAGCGAATGAAAATTTATTAATGACTTTGTTAAGATTAACTTGTGAAGTAATTTGTCAAAGATCGAGAATTTGAGATTTTGTAAATAATTTCTATATAAATATACATATACATACTTTTAATAATGTCAGCTGTTTATTTTATTACTTATGTTAAACCTTAAGTAAAGTATCTACATTGAGATTTCAGGCACTAAATCCATGAATAGGAAAGATAAAGAAAATTCAACGTATGCAAGCATTTATGGCAATAATTTATTGAATAAAATCAATTAACAAGGCGTAGATTTACACGAGAGAGAATCGATTTACTTGCTTGATGCCTTGTTTAATGCGTAATGCGATAAGAAAAGTCTATGTATACGTTTAGCGAGAACTTTTCATATTTTTTTCATGTTTGGAGCAAGAAATGGCCCAGAACCTACGAAGACGAAAATTCTCTCTTGTCTTTGCACAAAAATCGGAATCGTATACACATATATTTGCGACCACAATTCGTACAGATGTGTTGTTTTTTATTATTATTTTTTTTTTTTTTTCCCCAGTTACGGAAGAACTTAACTGGAAGACTAAACATATTTTTTAAAAAAAGTTTGTGTAAAAAATAACAAAATCACAAGAAAAAACAGGTACATACATACATACATAAAAATCATTTGAAAAAAATCCTACGCTTTCTAGACCATTCTTCCAATACAGTTTGCGTTTGCTTTTTTTTTCATTATTTTTTTTTTCTTTTTATTAAATCGAAATTCTTAGGCAGGAGTCTTTTTTTCTAAATTATCATCAACATACGCATATCCGTTTACTTGGTAGCACACATGCTTCTTAGGACGAAATTTTATTTAATATTAATTTTTATTTCTTGACAATTATAATTATCGCTTCTTCACACACATGTACGCATGGACAGAGAGACATTGCAGGTCTCGTTCAATTTCTCTATTTCTTTATCGTTATCCAGCATAGGACGAGTTTTTAAAAAACTTTGATGTGTCATTGAAGTACTACTGTACGTTGAAAACTTTTTTGAGCCAAACAATAATAATTAAATATTGCTTTCAAAAACTCTCATCGTCGCACCATCCCTCACACTTACTCGCTCTAAGTATTACGTTGCAGCAAGTTTGCGATTCTTTTCTTTATTATTTCAAAACCATTCATTTTTCAATCCATTTATTATTCATTTACTTTCCATTTTAATTTTCTGTTCAAGTATACAATGATTTTTATCATTAATTATTATTATCATTATTATTACTATTATTATTGATAATTATGAAGTAGGAGGCTGGGCACCGCCCACCGAGTTTATCACAGTCGTCTGGTGCCGCAGCACATACGTATACGTGGTTTTCAGCCTTATGACCTACCTCCTTAACTGCTATACTGTTTATTTAAACTCTAAAATTTTTTTTTGCCTTCCAAATTTTATTTTTAATTTTTTCCAGTAGCAAGCACATCTCTTCGTCCTCTTTTACAATTTTCCAATATTTATTTATTGCTGACCGCCGAATGAGTTCGACGATTATTTTCTTAAATTTAAATTTGCTATCTCTTCGATTTTTTTTCGTCGTACAATATTTTTGCGAGACAAGACACGCCAAATAAAGCTTTGAAACATGACAGTAAGACGTAAGGTTTCGTGTGGTAATTCCTGTATCTCTGTACAAAAGGAAAATTTGAGGGTATCGTTTTCAACGCCATTACACTATAGATGATAAAAAAGTAACAGAGCCATTTTTTTTCGCTTATCTCTCTTTCATTGTGTCTTGTCTATTGGAAAATCAAATCCTTTTTTTTTTCTTACAAGAGCTAGAATCGTCAATAATTGTCAAAAGGACTCATGTACATGGCTATTACGTATTTCCTTGTCGTATTCACAAGCAGTACCCACATTTTGCGCATCGTATTTTAGTACAATATTCGAGAAACACTTTTTAACGCGATTTATTTAAGAATATCTTTTTAGTTATGTTGTTTTTTTTCGAGCCTTTTCGTTTACAAAAAATGTTTTAGAGATGAGGCCCACTCACTTGACACTTCAGCACTAAGAGCACAAGTAACTTCAGCCATTAACATATCGTAGTTAATAACAAGCCAACACAGTAAGAACAAATTTTGGGATTTTTGATCGGTTCGACAATACACCAATCATTTGTTTTAGTTACCAGTTTCTATATTTAGAACTCCTCTTTATTTTCCAATCGAATAATGAGATACATTTTCAAGTGACAAAAATTTAATGTTCACTGGCTTTTATATAATTTCTTGTCAACAGCTTTTATTTTTTACGCAATTTATCAATCAATACAATAATTATTAATGTTTATTATTTACAGCAGGTGCACCGCAGAAGCCGACACCGTATCATTTATTATTTTTTATTATCTAGCTTCCGCAGAGTGCGTGCACGAAAGATGACACTAAGAGTTTAAAAATATAATCATCATGTATTTTTATAAATTTATGTNGGCAGTTTAGCCCTAGAGCCATTTAATCACTTATAAACCAGCCGCAACTTTTGAAACAGATACAAAATAAATAGATAACGATGTTTGTGCTACTTGCGGCAAGTTTACAATTTATCTATTACCCGAAAGTATAAATATATAGGCGATATTTCGGAGTTGTTGTCAACAGTAAAAAATATCGAAGTTTGTTGACATGCGGAACCCATCGATAGTTAATAAGTACAGGTTGACGCTAGCGCCGCCCGACCATGCGGCGGCGTTACCACGAATACCACGACCTACGTAACTTGCACAGTTTAGGCCCTAGAGCCATTTAATCACTTATAAACCAGCCACAACTTTTGAAATAGATACAAAATAAATAATTAACGATGTTTGTGCTACTTGCGGCAAATTTGCAGTGTATGTTTTACACGAATATCAACCTCCTATATATTCAAACTTTCGGGTAATAGATATGTTGTAAACTTGCCGCAAATAGCACAAACAACTTTATCTTTTCATTTTATAACCATACAATTAGTTGCGGCTGGTTTATAATTGATTAAATGGCTCTACTGTAAGTAGTAATAATCATTTGGATTAACGCCATCTAGCGGTCGTGATTTTTTTGGCCAAAAATTGCTTCTGAAATTCTGAAGGAGAGATTTAGGCAGTTTAGCCCTAGAGCCATTTAATCACTTATAAACCAGCCGCAACTTTTGAAATAGATACAAAATAAATAATTAACGATGTTTGTGCTACTTGCGGCAAGTTT